AGGCCATCCCCGGCGCGCTGTCCCCGGCTGAGTCGGAGGGAGCTGTGCCGCCCCTTTGTCCCCTCAGCCGGCCCTTGGCCGCTCCAGGTGGGGCTGGGCCCTCCTGCTCTCCAGCCTGCGGCCGGGAATTGTTCCTTCCCTTCAGCAGCCGCAGCTCCGTGCGTGGGGCTGGTGCGTGTGCAGCGCTGTTTACTTCGAGCATATTCCCATTCGCGTGGGGGATCTGGATGTGTGTGTACAGCCCATGGATGTATTTACCGACACTCAGAAGTAGCGGGTGCCTTCGCTCACCTGCGCATCCAGGGGTACCTGGGGAGCCACACTGTGTCCTTTCTGTGCCTCTTTGCGTTCTGACATAACGCGTGTCAGTGCTGGGTATTCTCGTGGACAATTACGGATAGTTTTGTGCATAGTCTTTCGGGGGTAATTAATTAGTGAATAGTTGCGCCTTAAATTTGTGTGCAGTTCTGCCTGGATTAACAGTTATTTTGATCCATGTGTTTTTTATTTGTGTGAAATGAAAGGGTGGGAGTGGCACTCGGTTAAAATATTTCTTAAATAATGATTTATTTCTATTCCAGTCTTCAGATGCCCCAGTTTCTCTTAGAATTTTGTGTATGTGTGTGTGTCTGTACCCGTATCCCTCATATTTTAGATGCAACCTTAAATAAAAGTAGTCCAGCATGTTTTTCTCTTGGCCATTGTTGAACAGATTCAACAAGTAGACTTCGTCTTTCTGCAGTCTGTCACAAGGACACTGCCGTGGCTGTATTTGGGTGTGTGAACAGGTATTCAGAGCCCTTTGCACTGCTGGGGTGTGGACAGGTGTCCAGAGCCTTCTGCAAGGTCCCGTCACAGAGAAACACTGTGAAAATGCACGTCAGGAGGGAGATGCTTGATCCATCTCTTAAGCTTGAAAGTCCTTTTGTGTGGTAGCAGGCTAGGGAAAGGAGAGAGGGTAGGTGAGAACACCCACTGAGATGAATGAGTACCTCTTACCTCTCGAGCTATTGTTCGAGACTGCAGCCCTGGGGAGAAGAGCGGGTGGGCAAGAACACCCACGGAGATGAATAAGCATCTCCAGCTCCTCAAAGCCCTTGTTCTAGGCTGCGGCAAGGGCTGCTCCTTTTTATTTGGGAATAGCCCCTTGAGGTGAATGGACAATTCACAAACACTAATAATCCTTTCTTTATAAAGATCCACCTCTACCTGCTCCAACATTCATATGCTTATTTGGTTTGCCTTGAAGTTTGGTAATTGCAGAACCACAGAATAATGAGGGTGCAGTTTCTGAGTACTCTCCTAAGCCAGTCTGTCTAGCCTGATGGCTGCTCCATTCTGTGCTGCTCCATCCCTAGCTCTGGGGTTTTTCTCCAACCTCCATTCCCTGTGCTGTGTTTGGGACTTGTCATGCCTGTCATCCAGATCTTTGATGTCCTCTAAGACCATCTTTTTGAGACCTTGTTGGTTTGGGTTTTTTTTAAGTAGCGTTACCTGGGAGTCGGGTCAGTGGTAGCCAGTGGTTAATGTGGTTTACGCTGACCTGGGACTGTCTCTCTGCTAATGGAAATATGGACTTCTGTTACTCTGTTGCCCCCATGCCTACACACTGTTGCTTTTGCTTTCTTGTTGGGTTAGTTTTCACCTGGATCATATCCCTGCTGTTGATTTGTCCTGCTCTTGCACAACACTTAGTGTTGGCAGAAGGAGTGGGAATGTGGGAGAAGAGGAAAGGGCAAGATTGTCCTGTTCAGAAAAAGGGGCGGATTCGGAATGGTTTCTGTTGATTACGAAACCAAACTGACATTGTGTCACTGTGACTGGAGGTGCATAGGTAATTAAATCATTGATGCCATCTTCCTTAATTTTTGTGAAGCCTTTCAAGGTGTCCTGTTCATCATCATCGTCACATATGATCTTAATTTTGGGGTGGGAAGAAGTCAGCTGACATCCTTGCTGATATTCGCATCTAGTGAAACTCTGCCCTTGGATATGGCTTATTTGGTTTTTAAGGTCAGAAAGCCTAACAATTGTTTGCCTGCTTTTGCAATCAAATAATGAGTGAACCCTTAAAGTTCAGTTTACTTGACACTTAGCCTAGTGGTGCTTGCCAACATCAACTCTTTGTGAGAGCAGTTGAGCTTTGTCTGTAATACAAAGCTGGTGCTTAGGCTTTGGAGAGCTTTGTTTCTCCTAGGGTGTTTGAGTCAAAGGACTTGAACTCCCGGGGGCACGGAGACCGCACCCAGGTTGCAGCTCTGTGATGAGGAGCAGGAGGCACAGATGCTGGTGAGGGAAGGCTCCTACTCTGCCTGGCACGTCTGGGGAAGGGGAGTTTGAAGGGGGTAGGTGTTTAGCTCCAAATAACTCTTAACTTCTGTCATACGGAAATGACGCTGGGTCATCAGGGGAAGGACCATACTTGAAAGTTGCATTGCTTGGGGAACTCTTCATTTCTAAGAATAATTGAGAAATAAACTGTTTCCAAAATTACTTTGTCTCTTGATTTATCTTGTGTTGTCATGTAGTAACTCTAGCAAGTCACTGCTGTAAAAAAATTACTTCTTATATTTTGGCAGTTTTTAATATATTTTGCCTGGTGTCAAATGGTGAGAAAAATCATATTATGTACCAACTGTGGAATGAGCTTCATAAGCACAGTGGAGGAAAAGCTGGTTATCGAGCTTCACAAGTAGATAAGATTTCAACTGTAGGTTCAGGTGTTAACAGTGTATATTGTGCCACTGATAGAATTTCATACTTAGTATTTTTAAAATACATACATTTATGTGAATACTCCAGGTAAGGTGCATCTTTGTGAAAGCAAGCAGTTACAGCGTTTTAAAAACTGGGTAAGGCCATGCTTTAGCAAGAGTTAATGTGTAGAAAAGGAGCTGACAATAAAAGGGACATGTGAAAAACATTTAAATTGATAGAATTAATTCTTCTCAGTGAGTGATGAAAGGATTTCTCACACACGCTGTCCTAAGAGAGAAGTACAGAATAGACACCATATTTCTGTTGTGGTCTTGAAACGGAAAATATTCCTCTTGCTGCTGTTGCTGCTCAACCCCCCTGCAAAGCAAAGGAGCTCTGTGACGCTCCCCAGGGCCGTGGAGCTCAGCATAGAATGTCCTTTATGAGGGATCCTGAACAGAGCTGGGCCTGTGCTCTACTCCCGCAGCATTCACTGGCAGCAGTGACCTTCAGGGAGCTGTGCACAAATGATGCTTGTGACTGCTTGTGTTGTTAAGTAGCGAGTCACATACTTTGTATGTGTTGGATGATGATGAAAATGTGCTGCTACAGCCTCCCACAGCCCCATCGATACTGTGGAAACTATTGCAAGCTCAGCGGTGAAAAACCTCAGAAAAACAAGTGGGTGTTTTATGCTAACCCTCATTAAAAGCAAAATTGTCCCTGTTGGTGTGAGGAGTTTACCCTTCCTGATATTCATAATTTGAAAAGCTGTAATATAGATGGACTTCGAGTTTTGTGCAGTTTTGCTGTGATTCAGGTGTGTTTTGGCAGA